GCACGGCATCTGGTGCGTGAGGTGTGTACGCGCTCTGGCGTGGTTTACGCAAGCGCCGGAAGTGATCTCTCGCGTGTATACGTCACTCATTGTTTACACAGTGCATAGTCATTGTAGGTACGACGGCTAATCAAAATGGTACTTACTTGCGCTTATCCGGATTGTTCAAACTGACTTAAAACTAAAAGATTACGTTCTCTCGCGCGAGCTCATTCGGGAGTGGTGACTTTCCACGTATTCCCAACTTCTGAGCCTGCTCGCCTGAAGTTATGGTTGATTGCTCTTCGGCTGGATATCAACACACCCATTAACGTAAACTACGCCAGAGCGCGTACACACCTTCACGCACCAGATGCCGTGCGCGCGCTGAAGGCAGTTGGACATAGTGTTGTATTAGAGGTAAAAATTATATAAATACTGTTCGGTTTCTCGCACAAACCGATCGTTTCTTGTCTTAGGACATCAATGTGTCGTCACAAGCTTCAGGGTTTAATTTGGATTTGTCTGTGCATGTTTTTTTTACTCTCATAGATTTTGTTACCATTGCCATGCATTATACGACTGATAGACTGCAACGGCTGGAGTTAAAAATCATCAAATGTGTTCTACTGAAGAAACAAAGTCACCTACATCTTGGATGCCCTGGGGGTAAGCAGATAAACATCACATTTTCATTCTTGGGTGAACTATCCCTTTAAGGTTTTATTTATTTATTTATTTTCAGTGTTAGTTCATGTCAAATGCAGTTAACTAATATTAAAAACTGTAAAGTGCTACCAAAAAAAAAAAAAAACCTATATACTTTTTAATCTAAAAACCTGAGAGAATATAAACTCAAGTCACCCTGGTTTCAGACTCTTCTTCTCCTTCATGCTCCCCCTCCAATTCACCCTCTTCCTCCCCTTCTTCTTCCTCCTTCTCTTCATCTTCCTCCCCTGATTCCCCCTCTCCTTCCTCCTCTGCTTCTCTTCTCCTGGAATGTCTTTTCTTACGGCGCGGTTGCTGTTGAGGCTCTGGGTCAAAGTTGAAGGTGAAGAAGTTGTACGCCTCTTCAGCGGTCGGCAAATCAGCCTCAGCCTGCTCAGAAACCAAACACTCATCAGGATTTGAGCATTTCTAGATGATTTCTCTATTAATTCTGTCAGTTCTATTCATTTAAACTTCACCTAATATTGAAAATATAATTTATACAGAACACAAATATCCAGTGTAGATCGCAAATATTCTGAATGTACCATTTTATAATATATATAACCATTTCATTACTTTTTGGTTGGTGCTTCTCACCCTCGCAGGAGAAACAGCAGATTCTTACCCTTTTGTCTTTGGTTGCACGTCTAGATGCATCACGAAACTTCAGTCTGGCAGCAAAGGATGAGTCTTCATCGGCCTGTAGATCTGGACCCGTCTGAAGGAGGAAACCACATGATCAGACTTCTTTCAGTTCTAAACCGAAGGTGGTGCGTTTTATCTTAATTATAAAATATGCATATAAAATTAGCTGTGTTTACTGTGTTTACTAAATACACTGAAAACAGTAAAATTGTGAAATATTATAATTCAAAAAAGTTTTTTAACTTATAAAGTATATTTATACTAATACAATTTTAACTTAACTAATATATATATATATATATATATATATATATAAATCTAATTTATTCCGGTGATGCAAAGCTGAATTTTCAACATTATTACTCCAGTCTGCAGTGTCACATTATCACTGTTGAAAATAATTGTGCTGCTTCATATTTTTTTGGAAAATAGTTTTTCAGGATTCTTTGATAAATTGAAAGCTCAAAAGAACAGCATTTACTTAAAATATAAATCCTTTGTAACATTACAGATGTCTTTACTGTCACTTTTGATCAATGTAATGTGTCCTTGCTGAATAAAAGTATTAATTTCTTTAAAAAAATAAATAACTTACTGACCCCAAACCTTTGAACTGCAGTGCATACTACAATATTTAGTTTATGGTCACAGGGCAACTTCTGTACTACTGAGATCAGTATTCATCAGTGCTTACGTCTCTGTCGAATCTAGTGAGGGTGTCTCTGTCTCGTAGACTCTGTAGACGGCTGGCAGGCTCAATGATGCTGTCCTGCTCTAGAAGACTAGCGGCTTTAGACTGAAGGGACGACACAATGATGAATGCATTAGGAATCATTTAGTATTCTCAAATATATTATGAAATACATGTTCTGTTTTCCTCTCACTGGCCCCAGACGACCTTTACCTTTGCTGCTCTCAGCTTCTCAGTCATGCGCAGTCTCATGGTGGTCTCTGATTGGCTGGATCCTGGCCTTATCACAGGACGAGGAGGAAGATCTAGAGAGATTGTGAGGATGAGAGTGTTGTACTCAGCAAAATGTCTACAGTCACACAGTATACAGACTATCATGGCAGCCAGCCCAAGTGAAACCAAGGCTTTGCGATAACGTCTATAAACTGCAGAATGGCCTAACCTCTCGGTGAGCGCGCTGGTGGGCTTTCTACATCGTCTCCTCTGTCCTGCTCCTCTCTCATCTCCTGCACTGCTGTCACCTCCTCCTCATCTGGAGGAGACTCTACCGCCATCTCCTTAAGCAGCTAGAACATGGAGACCATATGCAGACATTACAGACAAAACAAACCCAAGTGCAATGGAGGAAAACAGCCATGAGGTCTGAGGTGATTCATTAACAACCTCTGAGTGGACTGATATTTTGTAGCAATATTCACACTTTTGTACTTATCTACTTAATGGTTGTTTATTGGGTCTACCACAAAATGATGCGAAAGTAACTTCCCTATTTAATGTTGTATTATTTGCATTATTATTACAGTATCTTTTATAGCCATTCTTGAATTTATTTATTTTTTCAAATAAATAATAATAATAGCATTGGCAAAATAATAAAACTAATAACATTAATTAATATCATGTCTTTATTCTTACTCTAAAGCAAAGATTAATTACTGAATAAAACTGATTACTGACAATATATTATTTGCATTATTGCTTAACTTTTTATAGCCATTAATTTTTTAACAACAACAAAAATAATAGTCATCATCATCATAATAACGTCATAAGTCACAAAATAATGATAATAAGTCCAAAAAATTATAAGTCCTAAAATTATGTTTTTATTGTTGTAGTCATCATTATTTTATCAAAAAGCAGAAACGAATGATTAAAAATCAGTTCTGTACAGTGGTAATCATATACTGTCTATCTATAAAGTTATCACAGTCCTGACCTTCTTCTTCTTTTTCATTCTCTTCGCCATCACTGAACGTCTGAGTGTCTCACCAGGGTCCTCTTCTCCACCTGGAAGCTCCTAATATAGCATATTATGATATATATATATATATATATTTGTCAACTGTTTTTGTTTTTCTTTGAGTTTGCATGAGTTGCTGTTAATCATGCCAGTCCAGTTAGATAAAATAACATGCAGTATTTTTCTCGCTGGTCAGAAGCAGTTTTTAAGGAAATTCAATGCTTGGATACAAGAAGAATGACACGGAATGTTCAAGAGAGTTCTGAAATCCAATAGAAAAGCATTGAAAGAATAGTTGAAATTTTGTTACTCAGCCTATTAAGATCAGCATAGACATTCTTCTTAATATCTCATTTTGTGAATAAATGGATGGATGGATGGACGGACGGATAGACGGATGGATGGATAGATAGATAGATAGATAGATAGATAGATAATGTCAGGATGACACAAGGATGATTGATGACCCAAGGTTTATATTTCGATGATCTATTCCTTTAACTAAGAATTAGGACAGAAGCACTATTGAAGGAAAGTCTAGCAGAAATATATTAGTGCACAACAGGAAAATGCAAGGGTGAGAACAGAACCAACCTCCACCGCAGTGTGTTCATTCTCCTTAGACAGATCCCAGTCTGACGGAACCAAAGCCTACAGCAGATCGGCACAGACCTTACATTCACGGCTTCATGCATGTGTTCAGTGAAGGAGCATACTCTAGCTTTATATCGCTACAGTTTGGCTTGTATAACAAACTGCTAATATAACAAACATGTCTAGCAACTTCAGATGTGAAATACACCAAATATGAGCGTATGTGCGTACTGTCCAAAAGTGCAGCCCCTAAATAACAGGTGATAAACAACAAATAGAGCAAATAGCAATACTTTTTCAGTATACTCTACTATAGTGCATCATGTATAGTGTTTATACCTGTTTATCATCTCTGACACTTCCTAAAGACTCCTGCAGTTCTCTCCTCTTCTTCCTTATCTTCTCTCGTACATCACTGAAGATAACAGGAGAGCAGATTTAAAAGTCTTAAAACGGTCACATTGTACATGTTTACTCTTGAGATAGTAAAAACAGAAAGACTAAGTTACCTGGGCGATGACATTTTGGTGGCCATGACTACAATTATTTATATGAGATATCTTCCCAAGTTCATATCAGATTAGAAGTCGGGCCTTCACAGGAACTTCTTGATGAAACTGTAATAAAATCGTGAATGAGTGAAGTTTACAGACTGTCTCGTCTACAGCAGACATGGTTTATAAACACACATCTGATGTTTCCGTTAACGTTACACGGGCTTCCAAGAAAATCTCTTAATAACAGCAGACCATTAGTCTTTCGAGGGAGGACATAAACAAAACAAATGAACAAAACTGAAAACAAAGGCTTTCTAGATTTTAACAGTGCAAACAGCATTAATCCGCTGAAGGAGCAGCTTTTCAATCTTTATTTTGGTAGAGTTTTACCGTCATGCGGCGCTTCGCTGCCTGGTAACGGATGTAAATAATCTGCAACCGAACCCAGAGCAGTTTGCGTCCGGTCCGTCCCACTCTACGTGGGTTTTTCATTGGCCCACACACCCGTCAATCATCTAAATCTGGGACGTCACAGGGTTGAATCCGATCCTGCGTATATTGTTGATAAATGTCCTTCTCGGAGGCTTCTGGTTTAAAATTAAATATTCCTACATGTGATTTTTTTTTGTTTATTTGATAACCTTGAAACCTCTGTGAATAATATACCTATTAAAGATAATAAAAAATAAAAAATATATTGTTGATAAATGTTACAAATTGTTCTTTTTGCAAACAGCACCCAGAGACTATTGTGCATTTATTTTGGCTTTGCCATTACTCTAAATTATTGTGGAAAGACTTTTCCCTATTTGTTACTGAGAACATTGATAAGGATTTTTCTTTACTTTGGGAAAATGTTTTGTTTGGAATTGTTAATTGGAAAAAAGAACATTTACTGAAAAACAAAATATACTTACTTAATCTTCTTATTTTATGAACAACATTTTATATACATAAATGTAAATTTTCAGGTCAAAAACCACTGTTTTATGTTTTGCTTGCTGAATTGCAGCATTACTTTGGGACTATATTTAACTCGTGTAACAAGAAGGCTTTAAAAACAATTGAAATTTGTAAGTCTTTTAATATTTTCCTTTGATGTGATCTTTTGTGATTAGTTATATACCCCTGTTTTGTACCCTGTAGTTTTTTTTTTTTATTATTATTATTTATTTTGTTCTAAATTGTGACTGCTTTTATCTTTGTCTATATAATGTTCTTAATAAAAAAAAATTTTGTTGATAAATGTTGTGTACTCTATACAAAGTTGTATATCTTTAATGTCATCTTTGTGATGTTTGCATTCATAATAAAAAAAATAAAATAAAAAAAAACGTGTATTCTTAATATCCAACAAGATTTATTGTTTACTTTTAAAGATATAATTTTTTGACACTTTGATTCTGATTCTAATAAAAACAAAGCTTGTTTTGTTATAAATGTAATTAATTTTCTTGGCAAATTCTATATCCATAAATGTAAATTCACCAACAACAAACCAATTGTTCTTGTTTTTTTGAAAGAATTTAAAATGTATCTTAATACTATTTCATCCTCTGTAAATAAGAAAGCGAGAAGAACAACTTCAATTTGTAATGACTTTAATTTGTATACTCTAATTGAAATATAAATTAATATCTTACCCTCGTGTTTTTTTTTCCTTTCTTCCAATTTTTATTTTTTCTTTATCTTTTTCTTTCTTTCTTTTTTTTTGTCCTGTATGTTCAGATGACATTGTACATATTGTTGATAAATGTTGTGTACTCTATACAAAGTTGTATATCTTTAATGTCATCTTTGTGATGTTTGCATTCATAATAAAAAAAAAACGTTTATTCTTTTTTTTATGTCGTTTATTTGATCGTACATGACAACGTTTACAATAGTACTTTACAAAAACGGTATTTAATATAAAAACAAGAACGTATTTTCATATAAAAAAAACAAACATTTTATACCATCGAGGAGTGTGTTCTCAGACATATTCACTACCAAAACGTGCGCTGCAGTACTGTCTGATGCAATAACTCTTTTTTTTATTACTAAAATTATTTACTTACATTTAAATACACCATATTTAATTATACATTTCATTATTGCACGTGACTGTGATATAGGAAACGTATTATTATTTAGACGTCTGAGTCTGAGTGATGTTATCTTAAACACAGCACAGTGTATTATTTCTAAATTTTTTTTTTTTTTTTACTTTTCTATCCTCTGACAGAATCATCTGTCTGGCTGTAACAAATGTCCCCACTATTACTTATCCATTTGGTGACACATGGAGTGGATTTAAGCACTTACAAGCGCACAAGTGCAGAATTACAGGGACATATTGCTCCAATAATCTTATTTTTTAAACTTTTGAAATTAACAAACATATGTCTGATTTTTCTTCTTCTTCTTCTAAACAGAAAAAAACAGCCCAAAATATTCAAAACAAATATTGTATTACTCTAACACTCATATAGCCACAGAGCGTTTGTTTAGGTCAAGGTCTCCGAACAGTCCAGATGGTTGAGCTGTTTCCTCTGACAGCAGACAAACTCTCTTATGTCAAATTAAACTGAATTCAAGAAGTGACTCATCAAAACAATAAAACCAAGGGAGTTTCTGTTCAAATCTTTGGGTTCATTTGACACATGAATACACACAGCAAAAAAATAATGTTGCGTTAGCTGTCATGGCAAACATTGTCATTATGTATTTATTGGTCAGCAAATTAAACAATATATACTCTTTGCATAATACAATATAATATTTCACATGAACATAAATTCTTTGTTTCTTTTGTATCTTTAGTAAGTAAATATCTAAATGAAAAAATGTAGTTACACTTACAGAAAAATCACATACATTTCACATGTGCAATCACATGAAATATGTAAAACCCATGTGGAAACACGTGACCATGTAGGGGTTTCACATATTTACACCATAAAAATATCCCAAAACCACGTTTTGCCATGTGCAAAGCACATATTTTATGTTATTTTAACGTGATTGTACATGTGATATTTATGGGGTTTTTTTTCTGTAAGGATAACTACTTTTTATTAACATTAAATATTCACTAAATGTACAAAATCCACACTTAAAATATGTTTACATATATTTTTAAGTGGGATCTATGAGTATGTATGAATATGTTCTGGGCCATGTACTGGTATTTTCAAAATATGGAAGAAGTGGAAAAAGTTACTTCCAAATAAATGTGGAAAAAGTAAATATATTCAACCTAAAACTGTTAAATCCCCAATCTTAGGGATTAGATGAATGTATATAAAACAAAAATAATCTCACTTTTATTTTTATGATAGGTAACAACATCATTTTCATTTTCAGTATTTTGCATCAACAATATAAATGGTGACTTTCAGCAAGTTAGAGGCTATTCACACTGGACACATTTTTCTGTTCAAAAACATCACAAAAAAATTATTGAATTCAATATATTTTTTAAATGTTTTGTACTTTTTTACTATACAACCTCTTTTTAAAAATCGAAGCAGTGTCTAAAAATGTGACATTCATGGCGTGAATGCTGAAAAAAAGCACAACCAAATCCAAGATAGCACCATTAAATGATGTTACCACAGCTGCTAGCTGTAGTCTTCTGCCAATGTATCCATATAGTTTGTATCTGCATGAAGTAAAAACCCAGAGAAAAGACTGTCAGCCCAGCCGGGGTCAGCAAACAGGCCATTCTGGTCCTTGTAGAAGATCTCCAGCCACACCTCATCCTCTGGGTTTAGAAACATCACTGTTGAGCCAGACGCCACGTCATGGTTCCCTGTGTTGGCATCAAAAGTCTTTATCCGGTACTGTCCGTTCTGAACCAACCCAATGGCCAGGTGCTTGTTGGCCAGAGTGATGTCATAAGAAAAGTGATATGTTCCTGGGTAAGCACAGATGAATTTTCCCGTCTCTGGGTTGTAGTGGCCGCCCTCATTAAACAGGACTTTGTTGAATTTGATAGGTGCTTGCTCAGTGGGGTAGCTACTGGTGATGCCTACAGAGAAAGCGGATTTGGGAACCAAACTTCCACATCTGCAGATGCCTGGTTCTCCTGGCGGACCCCGTTGGCCCTTGTCACTCTTTAGTCCGAGACGTCCCAGAGGACCAGGAGGCCCTGAATCTCCAGGTTCACCTTCAGGTCCACGCTTTCCAATGAAACCTCTCTCTCCACGTTCCCCGAGCTTTCCTGTTGGCCCAACTCTACCTCTGAGGCCTGAAACAAACACAAGATGATGTTGATGTTAAGCCAAAATCCTTTCAAACAACATCATAATTGCACTGGCCCAGTCTGAAAGGATTTAGATCAAATGATTTGCCATTATTAATAAAAACCATCATACTCAGAATGCAACATATTTTGATGTGGATGTGGTTGGAACCGCTAAAATGGTATGATGAATATCTTTTTGGAACTCAGATCTCTCCCAGGACTAGAAATCTGTTATTCACATCATAAAAAAATTCATTCAGTTCTTTATACTCGTCTTTAATAGGATGTTTATCTGTGTGTGATTTATCACAATCTGATAACCTGTCATTACGAATCAGAAAATTTACTGAAGTAAATTTCCAAACAATATTCTACTGCACATGTGTCAAACCCTGGTCCTGTAGAGCAGTGGTTCCCAACCCTGGTCCTGGAGGCACCCCAACACTGCACACTTTGCATGTCTCCTTTCTCTGACGCACCAGATTCAGGTCTTGGAGTCTCTACTAATGAGCTGATGACCTGAATCAGGTGGGTTTGATTAGGGAGACATGCAAAACGTGCAGTGTTGGGGTGCCTCCAGGACCAGGGTTGGGAACCACTGCTGTAGTGCCACATTCCTGCAGAGTGTAGCTCTAAAACACCTGCCTGGAAGTTTCTAGTAACCCTGAAGACCTTAATTATCTGTTTCAGGTGTGTTTGATTAGGATTGGAGCTAAACTCTCCAGGAACTGAATGTGACACCCCTGTTCTACTGCAAGGTTTCTCAACTCTGGCCCTTGAGGTCCACTTTCCTTCAGAGTTTATGCTGGGTTCCAGACAACTTGAAAATTTGGATTTGTCCCAACTCCTACTTGGATATAACTTCTTGAAGTCGTACATCCCACTTGGGAACTCGGGGCAGATCGATCAACCCCAACTTCAGCGAGATGCGTCATTTGACATCATTGAATCCAACGGGCAAGTGTGGAGCTTGAAAACATTACACTTTAAGTTTATAAACCTTAATTTTTGATTTTCGTTTTCAAAATGAATGTCAGCATATTATGTTAATTTTTTTTCTTCTGTTTTTTCCATAACTGACACAAAAACACAAAATGCTCTTGTTGTGTCATGGCAACATCATGAGGTCAATATGTTAGCGTGACGTGTGATTGACTGGAATTCACTGAGGTTTGAAGTGGGACATTTCAACTTGAATG